AGATTTTACTATCAGTTTGGATTTTTAGGTATCTGTCCTTTAAGATATCTGTGGGATTTGATGAATGACCCATGTCATTCGTAGTTTGGTAACATATTGTAAATTTTCTAGATATATTTTTTCAAAATTTTATTTGTGACGTACTTTTATATTTGATTTTTACGCTAAACCATAAATTGAAAATGTATATGGCATTAGGTTACAACGATTCTCTTTCTGATGTTGATGTGAAGACTTTGCCTACTCTATGCTATGTGTGTTCTCACTGTATCTTGACTCAGGAGCTTCATGCCCAGAAACAGGAAAATTTGCAAATGGAGCATATGAAAAAGAGTAACAACAATCTGTTAGAGTACTTGAGGTCCTTGGACTCTGAGATGGTAATGACGTCATTTCTTCCCATTGTGGATAAATACATTATGCTTTATTTCATTTTTTTATAAATCTTGATATGGAAAATTTGCTTCAGGTAATTGAACTATCTAAACCGTCATCACACGAAGTGGAGGAAATTATCCATCAACTTGCTCAAAATATATTGCAGACATTTTTCAAAGACGAGATAGTGTCTGATGACAATGGAGACTCATCTTTAAGGAGTACTGAAAACTACCAAAATATTGATAACAAACTTTGTGATATCATTGGGACTTCGAGGGATTATTTGGCCAAGCTGCTTTTCTGGTTAGTGTGATGCCATCTTTGGCTTCTCTTACTGTGGTTATTAATTTGTTATCATATTATGCAATTTGCAGATGATATTAATGGGACATAATGCATTTGACCCAAAAAATAATAATAATAATAAATAAATAAATGCAATAGATCTATATCTTCTATTTGTTGCTTTTATTTCCCTTCTCAATTCTAATAAATGGACCTCTTTTACTCTAGGTGTATGTTACTAGGCCATCATTTAAGAGGACTGGAGAACAGATTGCATCTAAGTTGCGCCGTCGGTTTATTGTAAGCGGATGAAGTAGAAAGAGGGATGTATATTCTTCCTCACCTTTCTCTGTCTTTCTACATTTTTTTCCCCTTTCATATGTTTATATCACTTTTGTTTATCACAAAAAATTAAATATGGATAAATTCCTTTCGATAAATGACTTTCTTGTAGAATATCGATGAATGGAAATATTTCTAAGATGTGAAACTTGTCCTCCTTGCCTAACCATCATTTTTTTCATTTAACATTCATGTTGATTGTTCATAATGTTGAAGACATGACAGTGACTTTTTTTTATTTTTCCTTTTATTTCTTATGGGGTATGAACATTTCTTTCATTATTGCCAAATTCGGACATCCATTACGGGGTTGCTTGATATAGTCTGTGTGTATCAACATCAGATTAGATCTGGTGATACTTGGTTATGAATCATGATTGAATCCTGGTATTTTGGTCTGTTATAAAAACAGGTCCAGCTTTCTGGTTTGATCGAAAAAACTGAAAATCAAGTAGTAGGGAGTTATATTTGATTTTTGACAATGACCATTTATATCATGGTATATGGCTATGTTATAAAAATCGAATCAGTCCAGTTAATTCGATCTGGTAACGGGACTACAATCAAGTTCAATGTGTGGGCTAAGGACTAAAACATTGGTATTTGTTACTTTATTTGAAAGGGTAGTCTATGGACAATTGGCTTCAAAATAATGATATTTGTCATCACTATATTGATGTGTGTGGTACCAATGCATTGTTCAATAAACAAGAATGCATTCCGACTTTATTGAATATGAATATTGTGATATTAATCCAATTGCTACATAATGTTTGTCACCAATGATAATATATAGAAAAATTTGCGTAGATGGTCCCTTTGCTGGAATTGAGTTTGTCTAAGCTTTTTAAATGTGACTCATATGGTCCCAAACCTTTTCATCTTTGACGTAAATGATCTTTTGAGCGGAATCCATTCAAAAGGGCTATATTTGAAGGAACAATTTCGTTAAATATATTCCTCAACTCAAAAAAAAAAAAAAAAAAAAAAAAAAAAAAAAAAATTGGAAAGACAGTAGTTCATCTTCTTTCATCTACGCCTCCAACACAATCCCACTGACCGGGACCCACACAATGCCACACCACACCACTGAACGTTAAAAAATTCCAGAAAGGAATTTCAGTCGGCTGTCCAATTGAACGGTGATTTTGAGGGGGAAAGTTTTGATTATTGTGATTTTTTGAATGTAAGCATTTTCATTGGCTCTGTCTGCTTTTCTAGTTCAGATATATGTTCTTGAGGCCTTTGTTGAAACTTATATGCAGCCAACGAGAAAAGGGGTAAGCAGTCGAGATAAAAGTCGATCACCCAAACATGTGGATCATCATTTCCCTGATATACTCAAATCTATGAGAGTTGCAATGGCATGAGAGGCGAACCCCAATACAAGGATGATTTTAGTGTTGATTAGAGAACTTGTTCGAGATGAAGAGTCAATCAATCATTCAAAAAGATATTGTACTGAAGATCTCCTAAAAGAGATAAAAGTAAAAAATTTCTTTCACATTAGGAGGTTGATCACCTCAAATTTACTCTACAATGGGTAATAGCATCGCATCTAGGCCATAGAGGGTGGACCTCTACATGGCACATCGATTGATTGAATTGACACATCATTTCGACTATCTATGTTCATGGCCTCAATTAGGCCCCAAGTAGAATAATAATATGAAGTACGAACCTGATTAAGCTTCTTGTTGGCTATCATGTAGCCGATCCTTAGAACCTCGTTGAATGGGGCATAACCCTAATACGTTTATATTTACTTGGTGAACTTTTTTATTGCTAGCTTTATTATGAAACTACAATTGTCATATTTATAAGTTTAATAATTTTCAGACTCAAGTTTTCGGGTGGTGGTAATGAATGGGTGTGGCGTGCCAACGGCGGTAGTGCATGGTGATGATGCTTTGGAAGAACATTAACTTTTGATCATTTTGTTTTTAATTTTTTTCCTAAATTTAATTTTTTTTAACTTTTTTTTTCAGCTTTTAAGTGAAAAAAGGGGGGCGGGGGTTACTAGATGAAACTACCCCCCTTGAAATTAAAACAAACTATTCTTTAGGATGGATTCTATCCAAAAGGACTATTTAAGCCAAAAATAAATAAATATAAAAATAAAAATTGAAACCATTAGTGTCATATTTGAAAGATTTGAACCAAAAATGCAATTTGAACAAAGATTTGAAACCATTTGCTCCAACTTCCTAATAAATAACCTTATTCTTGGTTTCAACCCAACCTGCTCGATGGAGAAATTATTATTTTGCTTATACTTGCAGTTGTGAATTAGAGAAGTTTGCCCAAACTGAAGTTGCATAATTGATTTTTGGGCACTGCATATTACTTACTACAGTATAAGAAATTCAAAATATATGTGAAAAAATAGTTTCTTTAAACTAATGCCTGAGACTTTCCTCTCTTTTCTCTATCCAATTCTCACTGTTTTCACTTCAAATACCCTTTAAATTATTAGAATACGCCCAAAATAAATAAGTTAAAAAGGATGTAATACTGTTCATGAAACATAAACCCAGTAGACATATACCAGTAAGAACATGAGTCAGGATTTAAGCTCTGTACAAAGCTAATAGAACATAATGGAATTTTAAAGTCTGAACATTCTGCTATACTATTTTTCCCTTTCCCATCACTATCTCTAACATATTCTATAGCAAAGCCAGTGCCAGAAACTCCATTTCTGGGAAAATACGGACTAATAGATATTACAAAATAAAACAGCAGGCAATTTTTTGCCCATGTAAGCACTCTAAACGAACAAACATGATTCTACAATTGAGAGTATGGGCCACTGCTATATACAGATGAATGGAGCACGTACCATTTAGATAAGCTCACAAGATACTACAATCCCTACAATCCCGAGCAACTCTGTTCCCTTGGGGTTAACGGGGCTTGTTGAGAAGTAATGAACTGCTCAGTAATGTCTCGAGCAGAACAAATGACAGTACACTCTAACAAAGAGAAAAAGAGAGAGCAAGTAAATAGTTGAATCTTTTAATGGGAGAAAGGATTAACATTTCTACCTTTTTAAGAAAAAAGAAAGTTATTTTTTCTAAAGTAGTTCTTAATTTGCAGTTAAAATAAGTACTTGTTTCCATTTTAACCAATAAAAAGTTGATTATTGTGTAGCTTTACTTTTTAAGCCTCAAAACTCAGTAAGGAAGATATATAAATACCTTGATAAAATGGCCAGTTTATATCATATAGAGGTGGTCAAAAATTGGTGAAATCGTAATACCCTAGCCTGGTTATTGCAAGACGATCTGTCTCCCAATCGGTTTCTTTTCCTTCCCAAACGAATAAAAAAGTCCTCCGTGTCCAGGACATAAGAGATCTGAAAGCAAATTAACAAAATTTTCCATGAAAGATATAGATCATCACTTAATCTGGGACACATAATTTAGCATAATCTCGTGGCTCCGAGCAATGAGAATCAGACTAGCAAATTCAACAAGCAACACCAATATCAACAAATGAAATTAGTACAAGATATGAGTACTTGTGATTGTTTAACAGGCAATAACAACGGGAGCTTATTGAAATCAACAGGTATAGTGAAGAATTTATTGAACTAGAAATTACCCATAAGAGAAAAATGCGCGGCTAATAGGATTTTAGTGGAGGTTCTCTGTGTGTGTGTGTGTGTGTGTGTGTGTGTGAGTGTGAGAGAGAGAGAGAGAGAGAGAACCTTGGATGAGTTTGATGCCATCTTACATTCCAAACCATTAATCAACAGAACATTTTTGGCAGCCATACACACAGCAGAAGATTCATCGAGATTGTCATATTTCTGCATATTTCTGCACGCGTTATGAACGAAGTAAACACCCCATTGCTCAATCAAAATTGATGCAATTAATCAGTTTTCGTGTTGATCATGATCAGTAATTTTTTTTTTCATAAAAAAAAAATTATGCAACTATAATAAAAGGTTGCAAAACACTTTCCAAAGGAGAAGATTATTTTCTTTATCAAACATATGCAGACTCAATCACGACCCTATGATAAGAATAATGATGAATCCCTTTGTCTCTTATTTTGTCTAGTGGTTTAGGACGTCTCTCTTTAAGGGAGGCAGTGGAGATCAATTTCGCTATGAGTTGTTCATGTATTACCGATAAGCCTAAATTGGACGTCCTTGTTGTTCTAATAAAGAGAAGAACCTATGATTAGTTTTTTAAGAAATTTTGAAATGAACAATTTCAATGTTAATGACACCGTAAGGGTATTAAATATATAGAATTGGGATAATCATAGAATAAAATGAAATAGAGTCACTTTAAGGTTTCCTTTGAAATGAGACATAGAGGGGAGCCACTGCAAAGAGGTTGAAAACTAGCTTGCTATTCTAAAAATAAATTTGGGGACCAATTCTGCAATTTTTCTAAATATTTGATATAAAGCCCATGTTTGAGCTCCATTCAAATTTTAATGCATTTTTCTTTTTCTTCTTTTTAACTATACATTTTTCAATAAAATAATATTACACGTAAATTAAAAAAAATTAAAACCACATTTTTCAAATAATTATTATTCCAAATCATATTTTGCTTTAAAACCTCATTAGAATGGAGCTCAAAGAAAGGCAAAAATTCACTAATGCTATTTAACACCACTGGTATTAAAACATCAAATAATGCTATGCAACACCACTGAAATTAAATCCCCAGTTTAGTAGCACATAATGATAGGCTGAATGAAAGGTAACTAATTTAATTTTAACTTTCATTTAATGTCACATTAACATCACTTAAATTGCGATTATACTCTCACTAAAACTAAATAGCATTACTTTAAAACATCAGCCCATATTGCAGTAATGTGACATTAAATAAGAGGTACAATTAAATAACTCGCTTAATTGCACCTCTCATTGAGCTTATCATATCATACCACCTAAATTGGTATTGTTGTATCACTTGTGTTAAATAGTATTATTTTAAAAGTCGTATTATACGTACAATTTTTGTTGACAATATTGGTTGATAACATCCTATTTAACATCATCATATTTATCTATTTTAATAAATTATTTTTTATAACATGGGCTTGAATTTTGAAAACACGTGATAGTCAATCAATATTGTCAACAATGTTTGTACACCTTAACTTTATTATTGCTCTAAAATATTAATATTCATAACAATCATCACCTACTCACAAGCACCAATTCATTAACGTCATGACGTCACTCCTGCAATGGCGAATCAGTAATTAATCGAAAAAACAAGCCCCTTTAAGCAACAAACTCACCACCAAACAAAAGAAACGGCTGGAAAATGAGAGGGTAAGAGATTCCGATGTACGAAAACTCAAAAAGGCTGAGGACAGAGAGTGAGAGTGGCACAGTGAGTCACGGGGATGCAGGCAGATTAAAGGTTGGTATACATAAAGCAGAGACGCCCACACTCTTTCTCTCTGTATCTACTTATTTCTCTCTCTATATCTATACATGGCAATCGTAGCCACGGCCACGGCGAGGCTTTTCACAATTTCCGGCGCCACTGATTTATCACTTAAACCTAACTTCCCGTCACCACTCATCCGCCGCTTGTTCCCGTCAATCTCTGCTAGGAAACGGCAATTTCCGGCTGTTATTAGCTGCTTAATTTCAGGAGTGGATGGCGGAGGGGTCCCTGACGAGTTCGTGTTCACCAGGAAATCAGACTTCGGCCGCGAATTCTCTGTCATTGCGAATATGTTGAAGAGGATTGAGCCGTTGGACAATTCGATTATCTCTAAGGGGGTTTCGGACTCTGCTAAAGACTCCATGAAGCAGACTATCTCCACTATGCTGGGACTTTTACCGTCCGATCAATTTTCCGTTACCGTTAGGATTTCCAAACACCCCCTCGATCGCCTGATTGTTTCCTCCATCATCACCGGGTAATTATTACTATATAAGTTACCATCTCGGATAAGAACGTAAGCTGTTAAGGGTGACCGGACCATTTGTAAGCGTGTAGGCCGAGTTCATACAGTAATATTGCTGAATTGTGGACAATTCAATTGTTTTTGTGATTTATTGGTATCTTTGGTGAATTGTTTGTATTTGTCTAGGTATACTTTGTGGAACGCTGAGTACAGGATTTCTTTGATGAGGAATTTTGATATATCGCCTGACACTACAAGAATGTCGGAGTTTCCTGTAAACTATGGGGTTTCAGAGGTGAAGCAGGAGAGAGTATGCGAAGCTGGTGAAGGTGGTGATGGCGGTGGTGGTGGGGGTGGTGGTGTAGAAGATTTGGAGAAATTGAATATTCACAATTTAGGGGATTTGTCTCCAGAAGCAACAGGTCATATTCAGCAACTAGAATTGGAGTTGTCTACCCTCAAGCAGGTGAGGATTACATCTTTTGCATTTCCTTTTTGCTTAGAGAAGTTTGATCGAACAACATGACGTGCATCATTACACTTTCTGAAATAATTGATCATGAACCTACTGAGATTTTTTTTGTAAATTCTCTTAGTTCAATAAAGCTTCCTTGACTATTTGAAGTGTGAAGTTAGTTAAAGAGGAGGTGCATTGTGGAGCAACTAGCTGAGCGACCTTTATATCGTTACCAGTTAGATAAAAGCCATTTTGGTTTGTTTTCATCAACCTGTTAATTGGTGTCGACTGAATAATGAGTGATCAAAATAGTATTAAGTTGCTGAGAGTAACATTGACAGTTGTTCAGAAGAACTCTGGAGACTAACTACCCTGTTCAGACTGAGTTGTAACCTATACAGTTGATCAAATAGAAAAGATTGAGTTCATATGTAGCCAAGAATGTTGGTTGGCATAATACTGATCAGAATTATCTGCCACTGGTAATGTTGCTTATAAGCTCAAATAAACTTGGTATTATTGACATCATGCCAGAAAATCCGTGCCTATGTATTTTTCCTGGACATCGAAATCTGTAATTCACTTCTGATTTGGCCTTTTCAGTGGTGTGGCACTACATATGATCCTTAAAGTGGATTATGATTTATAAACTGAATGATATTTTGCTTGATTATTTATATAATGTCCTGATTGGCCTCTATTTTGTCTTCCAACTTCTTTTTTTCATTTACTTTATATTATTTATGCTTGGAAGCTTGTTCATTATGACCCATCTTTGATCTGCCTTGAAATTTAAGATGCACAAGATAAAAATCAAGTGGTCTTCCCAGAACCTAATTGGTTTATGACACCACTTTTTTTTTGGGGGGGGGGGGGGGGGGGGGGGGGTCATGTCATTCGTAGTTTGGTAACATATTGTAAATTTTCTAGATATATTTTTTCAAAATTTTATTTGTGACGTACTTTTATATTTGATTTTTACGCTAAACCATAAATTGAAAATGTATATGGCATTAGGTTACAACGATTCTCTTTCTGATGTTGATGTGAAGACTTTGCCTACTCTATGCTATGTGTGTTCTCACTGTATCTTGACTCAGGAGCTTCATGCCCAGAAACAGGAAAATTTGCAAATGGAGCATATGAAAAAGAGTAACAACAATCTGTTAGAGTACTTAAGGTCCTTGGACTCTGAGATGGTAATGACGTTATTTCTTCCCATTGTGGATAAATACATTATGCTTTATTTCCTTTTTTTATAAATCTTGATATGGAAAATTTGCTTCAGGTAATTGAACTATCTAAACCATCATCACACGAGGTGGAGGAAATTATCCATCAACTTGCTCAAAATATATTGCAGACATTTTTCAAAGACGAGATAGTGTCTGATGACGATGAAGACTCATCTTTAAGGAGTACTGAAAACTACCAAAATATTGATAACAAACTTTGTGATATCATTGGGACTTCGAGGGATTATTTGGCCAAGCTGCTTTTCTGGTTAGTGTGATGCCATCTTTGGCTTCTCTTACTGTGGTTATTAATTTGTTATCATATTATGCAATTTGCAGATGATATTAATGGGACATAATGCATTTGACCCAAAAAATAATAATAATAATAAATAAATAAATGCAATAGATCTATATCTTCTATTTGTTGCTTTTATTTCCCTTCTCAATTCTAATAAATGGACCTCTTTTACTCTAGGTGTATGTTACTAGGCCATCATTTAAGAGGACTGGAGAACAGATTGCATCTAAGTTGCGCCGTCGGTTTATTGTAAGCGGATGAAGTAGAAAGAGGGATGTATATTCTTCCTCACCTTTCTCTGTCTTTCTACATTTTTTTCCCCTTTCATATGTTTATATCACTTTTGTTTATCACAAAAAATTAAATATGGATAAATTCCTTTCGATAAATGACTTTCTTGTAGAATATCGATGAATGGAAATATTTCTAAGATGTGAAACTTGTCCTCCTTGCCTAACCATCATTTTTTTCATTTAACATTCATGTTGATTGTTCATAATGTTGAAGACATGACAGTGACTGTTTTTTATTTTTCCTTTTATTTCTTATGGGGTATGAACATTTCTTTCATTATTGCCAAATTTGGACATCCATTTCGGGGTCGCTTGATATAGTCTGTGTGTATCAACATCAGATTAGATCTGGTGACACTTGGTTATGAACCATGATTGTATCCTGGTATTTGGGTCTGTTATACAAACAGGTCCGGCTGGCTGGTTTGATCGAGAAAATTAGAAATCAAGTCGTAAAGAGTTTTATATTTGATTTTCGACAATGACCATTTATATCATGGTATATGGCTATGTTATAAAAATCGAATCAGTCCAGTTAATTCGATCTGGTAACGGGACTACAATCAAGTTCAGTGTGTGGGCTGAGGACAAAAACATTGGTATTTGTTACTTTATTTGAAAGAGTGGTCTATGGACAATTGGCTTCAAAATAATGATATTTGTCATCACTATATTGATGTGTGTGGTACCAATGCATTGTTCAATAAACAAGAATGCATTCCGACTTTATTGAATATTGTGATATTAATCCAATTGCTACATAATGTTTGTCACCAATGATAATATATAGAAAAATTTGCGTAGATGGTCCCTTTGCTGGAATTGAGTTTGTCTAAGCTTTTTAAATGTGACTCATATGGTCCCAAACCTTTTCATCTTTGACGTAAATGATCTTTTGAGCGGAATCCATTCAAAAGGGCTATATTTGAAGGAACAATTTCGTTAAATATATTCCTCAACTCAAAAAAAAAAAAAAAAAAAAAAAAAAAAAAAAAAATTGGAAAGACAGTAGTTCATCTTCTTTCATCTACGCCTCCAACACAATCCCACTGACCGGGACCCACACAATGCCACACCACACCACTGAACGTTAAAAAATTCCAGAAAGGAATTTCAGTCGGCTGTCCAATTGAACGGTGATTTTGAGGGGGAAAGTTTTGATTATTGTGATTTTTCTAATGTAAGCAGTTTCATTGGCTCTGTCTGCTTTTCTAGTTCAGATATATGTTCTTGAGGCCTTTGTTGAAAATTATATGTAGCCAACGAGAAAAGGGGTAAGCAGTCGAGATAAAAGTCGATCACCCAAAGATGTGGATCATCATTTCCCTGATATACTCAAATCTATGAGAGTTGCAACGGCATGAGAGGCGAACCCCAATACAAGGATGATTTTAGTGTTGATTAGAGAACTTGTTCGAGATGAAGAGTCAATCGATCATTCAAAAAGATATTGTACTGAATATCTCCTAAAAGAGATAAAAGTAAAAAATTTCTTTCACATTGGGAGGTTGATCACCTCAAATTTACTCTACAATGGGTAATAGCATCACGTTTAGGCCATAGAGGGTGGACCTCTACATGGCACATCGATTGAGTTGACACATCATTTTGACTATCTATGTTCATGGCCTCAATTAGACCCCAAGTAGAATGGCCTCAATTAGACCCCAAGTAGAATAATAATATGAAGTACAGACCTGATTAAGCTTCTTGTTGGCTATCATGTAGCCGATCCTTAGAACCTCGTTGAATGGGGCATAACCCTAATACGTTTATATTTACTTGGTGAACTTTTTTATTGCTAGCTTTTTTATGAAACTACAATTGTCATATTTATAAGTTTAATAATTTTCAGACTCAAGTTTTCGGGTGGTGGTAATGAATGGGTGTGGCGTGCCAACGGCGGTAGTGCATGGTGATGATGCTTTGGAAGAACATTAACTTTTGATCATTTTGTTTTTAATTTTTTTCCTAAATTTAATTTTTTTTAACTTTTTTTTTCAGCTTTTAAGTGAAAAAAGGGGGGCGGGGGTTACTAGATGAAACTACCCCCGTTGAAATTAAAACAAACTATTCTTTAGGATGACTTCTATCCAAAAGGACTATTTAAGCCAAAAATAAATAAATATAAAAATAAAAATTGAGACCATTAGCGTCATATTTGAAAGATTTAAACCAAAAATGCAATTTGAACAAAGATTTGAAACCATTAGCTCCAACTTCCTAATAAATAACCTTATTCTTGGTTTCAACCCAACCTGCTCGATGGAGAAATTATTATTTTGCTTACACTTGCAGCAGTGAATTAGAAAAGGTTGCCCAAACTGAAGTTGCATAATTGATTTTTGGGCACTACATATTACTTACTACAGTAAGAAATTCGAAATATATGTGAAAAAATAGTTTCTTTAAACTAATGCCTGAGACTTTCCTCTCTTTTCTCTATCCAAATCTCACTGTTTTCACTTCAAATACCCTTTAAATTATTAGAATACGCCCAAAATAAATAAGTTAAAAAGGATGTAATATTCTGTTCATGAAACATAAACCCAGTAGACATAAACCCAGTAAGAACACGATTCAGGATTTAAGCTCTGTACAAAGCTAATAGAACATAATGGAATTTTAAAGTCTGAACATTCTGCTATAATATTTTTCCCTTTCCCATCACTATCTCTAACATATTCTATAGCAAAGCCAGTGCCAGAAACTCCATTTCTGGGAAAATACGGACTAATAGATATTACAAAATAAAAGAGCAGGCAATTTTTTGCCCATGAAAGCACTCTAAATGAACAAACACGATTCTACAATTGAGAGTATGGGCCACTGCTATATACAGATGAATGAAGCACGTACCATTTAGATAAGCTCACAAGATACTACAATCCCGAGCAACTCTGTTCCCTTGGGGTTAACGGGGCTTGTTGAGAAGTAATGAACTGCTCAGTAATGTCTCGAGCAGAACAAATGACAGTACACTCTAACAAAGAGAAAAAGAGAGAGCAAGTAAATAGTTGAATCTTTTAATGGGAGAAAGGATTAACATTTCTACCTTTTCAAGAAAAAAGAAAGTTATTTTTTCTAAAGTAGTTCTTAATTTGCAGTTAAAATAAGTACTTGTTTCCATTTTAACCAATAAAAAGTTGATTATTGTGTAACTTAACTTTTTAAGCCTCAAAACTCAGTAAGGAAGATATATAAATACCTTGATAAAATGGCCAGTTTATATCATATAGAGGTGGTCAAAAATTGGTGAAATCGTAATACCCTAGCCTGGTTATTGCAAGACGATCTGTCTCCCAATCGGTTTCTTTTCCTTCCCAAACGAATAAAAAAGTCCTCCGTGTCCAGGACATAAGAGATCTGAAAGCAAATTAACAAAATTTTCCATGAAAGATATAGATCATCACTTAATCTGGGACACATAATTTAGCATAATCTCGTGGCTCCGAGCAATGAGAATCAGACTAGCAAATTCAACAAGCAACACCAATATCAACAAATGAAATTAGTACAAGATATGAGTACTTGTGATTGTTTAACAGGCAATAACAACGGGAGCTTATTGAAATCAACAGGTATAGTGAAGAATTTATTGAACTAGAAATTACCCATAAGAGAAAAATGCGCGGCTAATAGGATTTTAGTGGAGGTTCTCTGTGTGTGTGTGTGTGTGTGTGTGTGTGTGAGTGTGAGAGAGAGAGAGAGAGAGAGAACCTTGGATGAGTTTGATGCCATCTTACATTCCAAACCATTAATCAACAGAACATTTTTGGCAGCCATACACACAGCAGAAGATTCATCGAGATTGTCATATTTCTGCATATTTCTGCACGCGTTATGAACGAAGTAAACACCCCATTGCTCAATCAAAATTGATGCAATTAATCAGTTTTCGTGTTGATCATGATCAGTAACAGAACAAAAGAAAAAAGTACAGTACAGACAGAAACATGAGAAAAAAATTTAGCTAATTAATCTTCCTTCGTTTCTAATTCGTTTCATCAGGTTATTTATTCTTTTTGCGAAATCAGCACCAGCACAACAGTTTTATACTCTAGTAAAAGCAACCCGAAAATTCTACAAACTTGTAAAGCTTTTCTTAAATTGGCGGCCAAAAATTGTCCATTCAAAACCGATGGAGAATATTAAAGATGATACATATTGTCTTTCCAGGAATAGAGTTATTTTATTTCTTATTATTAGAATTTTCTATTTTAACTAAAGATATGTTTTAATTCCTTTGTTGGTTTCGTACTTAAATTACAACAGGTAAAACCCTATATAAAACCATTTTATGCATTGCAAAAATAAAATAAAATAAAATTGACCTAATCTTTAATTTTTATTTTTATTTTTTCCCTATTTCTTGCAATATGTGATCACATAAAAACGATTTATGCATCGTAAGTTTCATTATATCGTTTTCACTTTCCTCGTCAACACAATGAACAACTCGTATCCAAAGCCTGTTAGGCAATGTTTAAAAAGATGATTACTGATGCATTTTACCTTCAAGATGTGAGGCGAGGCACAAGCCTCAAAATATTATTAAAATGAAAACTAAGTTCATGACAAATCATAAAAAATATTTAAATTCATAATAGAAAAATCTAAAGTGTGCAAACATTCAAAAGCAAAATCTATTTAGTATCAAGAAAAGAACCTATTATTTTAGTTGGCGGGAGATCGGATTATTTCAAAAGTGTGTCTATGAAAAACACAATTTTTTAACTTTTATATAAGGAGTGGGTTATTCCCAAATTGAGTCAATTAAATTTTTTAGGCTTTGTGGGTCCACACCTGAAGCACAGTAAATAAGTCTCAAGAATTAAAAAATGCGCCTCATAAGCCTCAAGGTGATGGTATGAAGCATGTGCCTCATACAACTAAGATGTACGCCTCCAAATATTGCTTTACAGACAGTAAGCCTCCAAAAATGACTCGACGATCAGTGCCTTGAGGTAGTTTTTGCTCACCTCACTTCGCGGCAAGGCTCAATTGGGTGCTTTAAACCATGGCTCTTAGGAACGTAAAGCCATTACCTTGACACCTCATAGCAAGCCTTCAACGTTCCCTCAATACGACTATTCACATTCTAAGGATAATGTTGAAAGGAGCATTATGTTACGCAGGATACAATATTCCAACCGTGACAATTGGGTGGTCCTAATGCTGAGGCATTTATTGTTTTTCTCAATACTCAACTCCTTTAAATTGCCTAACATAAGCGACTCTCATTGTATTTGTCTTGCTAGTTTGACACTTTTAGGATCCACCAAACATTATTGGTAGTCGGTAATACATAACATTAATCATCTACTTCGACATCCTCTAACTCTTATGGGATAGAATTTGATGAAATAATATTAAGCAACAAGTACGCCCTTGCCTATTCTCGAACTCGGATCTATATTTTTTCACTAAAGGCAATGTGCATCAATTATTGATGAATCTTCGCATCATAACTTTTAGATTCGTAAATGATTTACTTCATGTGCTCGATCATGAGATTAATTTTTACCAAGTCTTAGATGAAGCTTACCTTTGGGCATTACACCCACAAAAATAATTCTACACCAGGCAAGGTATATACCACACCTACCACCTGATTCCCAACGATCTAATCCCAAGCGTGAGTGCCATTGTACTAGTCTTCCTAATAAACTTTGCAAATAAATCTTGGTTCCTGGTAGGCTAAACTTCATTTAATGCATTGTTCTTGTGTCCACTCCATGTCCGTCTTCTTGTCACCATTGTCACTCGGTGGAAGGTATAGATTTAGCATCCAAAATAGATACCTACGAAGAAACTTAGCCTATGTTTGAATCCCATTTTTTGTTGAAAATGAGTTTTGGAATGGCAAACTTTTGGATAATGTGTGGTAAAAAAAAAAAAAAAAAAAGATTTATGTGCAAAAAATCTTATTTGAAGAATATGTGTTGAAAATGAGTTTGAGAAAAAATAAATTTTTAGATGATGGGGCTCAAACAGGGATTTAATTTTGATTATCCAACCTAAGAAGATAAGACGATTGTTATAGATCCTATAGAATGTTCTGATAGTAAGGACAAAAAAGAGTTTTATAGGTCCCCCACTGCCTCTCACGATCAAACCTTCACAGGACAAAATTAAAGATGCAAAACATTCCTAATGCCCTTGTCTTAGGGCCGATCATTATCACTTACTCCTCGATTCGACTTTCACACTACTTTATCCTAGATTTTCCAACCACCATTTGACGGTCTCATGTAGCTTCAATGTTTTGCAAAACAATCGAAATTAGACCTTTCCTACTGACATTAGACTGTCAACCATATTCACCATTTTCATCTTGAAGTACTATTTTAAATGACGATAATTATGGACTTGCTTTTAATGAGCAAAGTAGGCACAAATACTTCCATGGGGATATTTATGTTAATGCTTTGTCTCCCTCTAGCACACTATACTAAATCAAGCAACGAAGAGAGTTTCCTGAAACAACATAAAATTAATGCTCCTTTATTTGACTAGAATAGAATTTTTGTTTTCAATATAGCAGGATTTATACATTGTCGAGGCACAATCAGGCCATGAATGTTGCAATCATTTATTCGAGTCCATTGTGCTAGTATTTCATACTCTTTCCATTTCTTGAAGTTAGCTAATCTTCAAAGACAGACATTCCATCAGGAGCTCAATATCTAAATTTGATTAGGGACAAAGATTGTCCCCTTGAATATGCTCTCATTCTCTAACACAGGATTAGAGTTCTTTGAACCAAGGAGAGTGATAAAAATTCTTCAAGATGTCACATAGGCCAAGATTGAAGTTAATATATTTCAAATTATTATAATTTTCCATTTTCATTAATGTTAGGTTTTATTTCCTCGGTTGGTTTCCTTCTTAAATTAGACTAGGAAAAACCCCTAAACATATTTTGGAATTGATGGATAACAAATAGCAGTACTGATCATTTCACTCTAGCACAAGCAGTAATTGTGGTGTCACAGACTCCATTAAGAATCCACAAGGCAAGTAAACCAATTCTCAAAAGCCGATATTTTGCATCAGTGAAGTCTTGGGTATATACTTTGTCTATCATATTAGTGGTAGAATAGAGAGGTAAAGGCCGAAGTCTCATTAGAATAAATAATCCAGCAGTCCATTACAAGTCGTAGTTTTAACACAATTTGATTCCAAAAATCTACTGTTGTCTATCATATGGTACGATCTCTGATAAAGTAACCTTATATGATGTACAAGAAACATGTCTAGCATACAAATAACACTTCACGCCTCATCTTCTTAATCGAAATTTGTTAAGTTCAAACAGAGTTTTTTTTTTTTTTTTTTTTACGTTCGTTTTGATAAGCATAGTACTGTTTATTTCTTAATTATGTGATGATGACAAATAACATCAATACCTCTTCAGCATTACCAGAGATGACTCCTTTCGTCCAGGAACCACTGGAAGATAATCATTATGGAGATAGTTTGCGAAGTTAGGGTCCACCGAAACTGCAACAACTTCAGACTTCTCATTTCCATCATCCATCAATTGGATAGACAAAGAAGTGGGGGAAGACGTCTACGAGAAGCATGAAAATAACTCAGTATCACCTTTTCAAACAAATATGATACAGATATTATAGTGATGTATAAATAGAAGGAATGAGTCAAAGTGTTTGGAAACCTACACATTCAAGACGGTATATATTCTCGTGGTTCAAAAGGATATGAACATTCTCATAATAAACCGAATCTATATAATTTCCATGTTTTCGAGATTTTTCATACTCGTACAATTGGAGCAGCTTACAGTTCAACTCGTCACTGGAAACGGCTTGGAGCTACAAAGAGAAACATTATTCAAAAAATACGCTTTTAAGCAGAGAAGAAACACAATGCAAAAGGGGTAAAACAAATATTTAGAAAGGTTACCTGTTTGACCAACTTATATATCAGCTTATCCAATGTAAAAAGGACATAAGACTGATTTCCAAGAATTGATCGACAATCATCCTCAAATTTTGCATTATCATCAGATCCATCAAGCAAACTGAACAGTGCACTCATGAATCTGCAATTAACATGTTCATCTAGAATTAATAGGATCCAATATAACTCCCAAACTCATTATAAACTTTTTCTTTATCACCTTGCATAGGGGTCAGAGCATGTGTCCTTTGTGCTTCTCCATTTGGATTCAGCAGACGCTGAGTTCACCTTAGCTGATAATATCCTCTCATATAGCGTCTGGAAGAATAAAGAATAAAATCACATAAAGTAGAATAAAGAAATGAAAAGCATAAACCTGGAACCAACATATTCACAGTATTTCTAACTACTAACTAGAGATTAGTTCTTTTTTTTTTTCTTCTTTTTTTTTTTTGAGATTTTTAGTAGGGGCTTTTGGGGCCAGAAAGCATTGCCACTTCGATCAAATCAACCAAGAGAAAAAAACAAAACAAATGTTCACTGTAACTTTACCTGGTGCAGCCTGAAAAGCACGTAGAAGGTGTCGTTCCCATAAAATATTCGTCGATCCTTTTCCTCATCACTTAGTAATGGAGAAACCACATACTTTGACAAGGGTTTACAAGTCAGTAGGAAACAATCAGGCTGTGGCACTAATACACCATCTCGTTCAACACAGTGAGCTTCATTCATATTTTCAGCCCCACCTTCGCTCTCAGCTTTGCCATCGTGTTCTCCATGTTCCTCTTCTTCATGCTCTTCCCGGGAGCACTCATCGGCAGCAGACTCACTGCCTGAAACATCTTCGCCAGCCTCGGAGACATTTTCACTGCCCTCGTCATCAGCATCATTTTCACCGGTAACATCTGGAGAAATCTCTTCATGGCAGCCTTCATATTCTATGTTGTCATTGCTATGATTTTTATTACGAGCGGTTTGTAAGCAGCCATCCGTATAGGTGGCAAAATTGTCTTCAAAATCACCAGTAGGAGATAGCTCGCCTTCTTCTTTATCATTTTTACAGGGATTACCCGAACCCTCCTTATATCCATTACGTCTGGAGACTTCTTCAAACACTCCATTTGCAGATTGATTCAACCGTGATGTTTCACCATCCTGTTTCAGAAAAATATATATACATCAAGATATATAAATTTAAAAAAAAAAAAAAAATGAGTAATGTGCTTTAACCACCCCCATCCCCCAAGCAAACAAATGTGACACATTAAAATCTTTTTCAATTCTTGTTTGATGGGTTCATGTAATGGATTCTATTAACCCACGGTTTGGAACTAATGATTGGCTATGAATAAATATAATATAAAAAGTTCCCTGTTTCAGATTATATTTGGGATCCAAATGACAGGCAACCATAGGCGTACCTCCAAGGACATAATATCTTCCATATTCGGCTTGGTTCCAAGAACTTCCTCAGTAGGGCTGTTACTGGCTCGTGAATGATTTGCACCACACCCTTGAAGTTCAAAATATATATCCACGATTTTTTTGAACCCAGAAAAAGACTCAAATAAGTAAGATCATAACCAATCAATAGAAAGATGGAAGATAATCTAAGCAATACTATCATTAGTCACCCATACAAGAATGTCAAAAAGGCCAACCTATCTTCACAAATCACCAATAACATACAACCTATAACCAACCATTGCCTCTACATACATACCATGATTAGAATCAGATCCTGTTGTAGCAGCTGTGTCACAGTTGATTAATCTTTCGCCAGATGACACAGTTGATCCACCTGCTTTAACCAGCACACCAACCCCATTTGTGAAGCCAGTCTTGCTGGAATTTATTTGTTGAGTTGAAGCATTTAGATCTCCATTGCAGATATGCTTCGGTTGCTTTAAGTTTATGGTAGTAGCATCAGCACAGGGACTTTCATCCCTTTCAACTACGTTTATTGAAGCGTTTTTCACAGTTTGGCACTTGGAGGCACCACCATCTTCAGTAACCCCTGTACCATGAGGCCGGGTACGAACCCCCAGCATCGGCTCAAGAAAAGAAGTCCATAACCTCAGAACCTTATTTAATTGTTCTTTTGTCGAGCAGACCATCTCACATGAATACTTGATGATTTTATACACATCTTCATGAACATCAACATCAGAATATTGAAATTCGAGATTTGGACTGACAAAATGTCTACTTCTAGAAGCAATACTGACAATTATATCATCCTCTTTCTGCTTTTTCTCCTTGACATCTTTGATATCTGCAACTAAAGCTGTCCATGCGTGAAAATATAGATATGAGAACCAGAAGATCAATTGAGAGCACCATTTGGTGTCTCCAAATAATTTTTACTTCATTATGAAAAAGCACTCGTAAGTATGAACCAATTCAGCTATGATTCAGATGCAAATCATGTCTTCGATGAGGGGAGATGGAATCACAATTCCCATATGCTTAAAATGTTACATAGACAAGACAAGATATTTAAAGGGACATCAGCAACAATAAGTATCAATTAATAAAAGCAGTGGAAGTATATTCCAGAGATATCATATTAAAAATGATAACAAACAATTTTTGGGCAAATGTAGAAAGAGACAAATGGAGATCGAAATGCTTCCTGCAAATTTCCCCGGGAAGAAATTACAATTATCCAGGTGATCTGAGCCATGAGATTGTGGCATTAACGGTCATATTAAAGCATGTAACTGTTGATCTGAGCCATGAGGTCGTAGCATTAAGTCGGATTGAAGCATGCAACTGAAGAAATGAGCATGAGATTGTGGCAGTGACATCACACTAGAGTCATCAAGACAGTAAATGACGCCAGTGACAATGAAGTAGTGATACGAACCCAGTTAGCACGGTCGCTATCGAACCCACAAGATATTGACACCGAATCCCAAGAAAGCCAAAAACAAGGTTTTGGACTCAACCCACAATATTGAAACCAAAACAACCTAACAAGAACGGCGCTGTGAAGGACCTCTTGATTACGCAACACGATGAATTTCACCCGGAATAGTGGATCTGACTCAATAATCACGAACCAAATAACCAACACAGTCACATGGACATGCCGATCTTTTGATTACAAATATTTAATTGAAATCACAACCATTGTTTTGAACGCCACAAGAACAATTAATTCTTGATAAATTCAATGTTCAAGAAGAACAAGATAATTTAAAGCAAAAGCTTCTTGAGAGAATTCTCCATTAAATCATCATAAAAAGTCTTTTCTTCAATAATGAGAAAATAACCTATTTATACTAAATAATCTAGAATAATATTAAGAGGAAATAAATTCTAGAAAACCTAGAAATCTAGTAAAATCGGAAAATAGAGTCCTAAAATATCTAAATTACCAAAAATAAGAAATTGGACCAAAATAAAACTTCTCTAAATCACATCAAGTAGCAATAACAAAGACAACAGACCTAACAAGTTCCGATGATAAACACACACAAAGCAAGACATATCAATCACATGGAAGCAAATTTTTATTTACCCTAGTTTCTCACTATCTTCTTGTTGCACACCAGTACTGCAGCAAATTTTCCACTGAATGCAAAAGGCTAAACTCAAAATCATCTCAAGATCATGTGACCATTTAATAGAAAAATTTGTGTTCCACCCAAGTGGTAACATTATCATATTGCATTTTTATAATGATTGATATAACATATTCATAGCACCAAATACAACAACAGATCGTATATGACATCAATGCTCAACTTACATTTAGTGCTCAAATTCTTTGAATCTTGTTGCCTGAAATAGAAGCTGCGGTGGTCAAGAGACTTGTAATGGTTCTTAGAGTAAATCTCAGCCCAAACTTTGTTAAAATCCGAACGACACTTCGTCCATTCCTCTTGCTTCTGCTTAAGGCGGGTTTGAATAACAGGTAACGAAAGGGATGGATTTTTACGCAAAATTTCCATCACATCAAGACCATGATCGCCATATAGACGTTCAATGCATCTCAAGTTTAGAGCTACAACCAAAAGAAAGAAATCATTTAGTAGTAAAAATACAATAAAACACACGCACGCACGACCGATTCCATAAAATAGCTTTCAAGTGCAAGTATACATTAGTGATGCCATAATGACACACCTGTGAAATGCTCCTCAATACGTATGTTAACATCTGAACCAATTGAATGATTGTTGATACTGTTCAAGAGTTCCTCAGCACGTTTCACAGTCGAACTCATAGACTCCAACAACATGTCTAGTTCGAATCTGAAATATCCAACAGAAAATCGATGAACAAAGAAAAAGCTCCAATTAGAAGAAGCTCAGGCACGTTGAGTTGGGAAACAATAGCAAATATGGAGACAAAGAATAAGAAGGTAAATCCAACAGTAGATGAAGCAAAGTAAAAAAATGTTTCCTCTCCTTTCACATTCCATATCATGTATGCCAAAAGATAAAAGACTAGGAGTCATCCAGCGTAGGAAAGAGGGTTAAGATGACCACAACTTCCTCTTTTACATTACCAAGGTCATGGAATCAAAGACCAGCTCTAGACCATACAGAGCAGATGAACAAGATGAGTTAAAAATTGGAAAGGTGCCATACTTATCATCTTCGCATCTAAACAGGCTTTCTTCATACTGGTTTCTACGCATGTGTTTAAAAGAGTAATCCTCACTACCAGATGTGATGTAGGAAAGAGGGTTAAGATGACCACAACTTCCTCTTTTACATTACCAAGGTCATGGAATCAAAGACCAGCTCTAGACCATACAGAGCAGATGAACAAGATGAGTTAAAAATTGGAAAGGTGCCATACCTATCATCTTCGCATCTAAACAGGCTTTCTTCATACTGGTTTCTACGCATGTGTTTAAAAGAGTAATCCTCACTACCAGATGTGACGGATACCCAATGATCGTTTAAAACTTGAGCACCAAGCTCCGACCTCTGGCTTGCTGAAGTTATTGGATACTGCATAGACAAATTTACTAAAAGAAAGTCAAGAGACGTGATTTTTTAAATTATATAGATGCATAATGCACCTTATCAATAACAAAACTATTAGGCAAGAAATATAATACAAAGAGCGCAGATAAAACAAATATTCATACATCCTCGGGAAGAAGCCGATAACTGGGAGTGCAACTTTCACAGTTAGAAAGGTCAAGCTCCTGAACGGACTTTCCCCAGTACTTCAAATTGTATCTATCCTTTTCTTTAATTCCATCTACTTCATGCTTTTGTTCTTTATCTTTGTCCTCTATTTTCAAGGCCTTTGAAGAATGCCCTTCATTCCGTAATGATTCTGCTGATAGAACAACTTCCTTAGAATACACATCAAGAGAAGTGAACAGAAACTTAAAGCATGCCATGAAAATTTCGCTTTTTAAACTCAATAAAAGGAGGAATATCATTTTTACATTTTCTTATGTATTTTTCTTCTTCTTTTTTCCTATTTCATTTGGGTGGATGGGGTTACTCCTCTCAGAAATGCAAAAAATAAATACAATGCATGCTATCCATAAAGTAAATATGTAAATAAATAGCTGGAGAATTACATACTTTTGCCCATAACACCAGCAAGAAATCCATCTGCAGAACTCACACCAAGTCAGAACTGGAAACATACAAATCAAAACATTCAATTCAACGCACAGCAGAATATCAGCAATACCAATTCGCTCACAGCGTTCCAAAAATTCATTGAATCCCTCCATAAGATCAGGGTATTTACCAAGTAAATCAGCAACCTGAAAAAATAAAAGGAAAAAAAAATCATGTTAGCAACAGATAAAGATGTGCATTTATGTGTTGCCATCAAATTAAAAATAAAAAAGGAGCATAGTCCTAATAAATATGATAGATACGCAAAGGAAGAGCAGTGATGTAACTACTTCAGAGGTTCAACTTAAAGCAAGATAAATTTTGCCATTTAATAGAGAGATGGTAGAAAATAAAAATGCAAGTTAAAGCATATTAGTATTATGTGAAACAATTGTGGGAATAGGGGCACAGTAAGATGGTTTATGACAAAAATAAACTGAATAAAGATATAAATTAAGAGCTATCGATCCCCAAAAAGCATCTAAATCTAAGTGTTAAAATGCATAAAAGATGAATGATATACACACCAAACTCTGTAATTCTTTTCTTGTGATTATTTCTGTGCTGTAAATATGAAGACATTTCAGAAAAGCCTGGTAATCATCCGAACTGCGTAACCTCTCCTTAACTTTTTCACAGAAGGTGAACTCTTGGCTGTACATGCCTGAAATGATCAATCCAACAAAATTTGAATGGCTCATTAACAAGTCAACAATAATGGTATGGGTTATTGATATCTACAAAAAGACATAATAAAATGATAACCTCTTGTTCATGAAACATTATGTAGAAAAGAATAGTTGTACCAACGAATAATTTCTAGGATTTTCTTTATCTTTTTGTTTAGGGGTGTGTTGTTAAAAGTATTTCATTGACATAAATAATGCAGTTATGCATTTTTCAGTTATATCTAATTTCCTAATCAGAAAAACGATACAAATAAAAATCCCCGGATTCCACATTGCAAAATATGGACATGCAAGTTGACACCTGAATTGTAAGTGTATAATACATTTCTTGTGTATTACCTTCTGATTAATAAAATATTTGATTATTTATCAGAAAATAAAAAAGTTGATACCTGAATTGAACATGTTTTTCTATATGATCATAAAATATTGGGGCATTGTTCACTCACTTTTAAATGCATCTTTATCGTCATAGGAGGCCAAATTAGAATTCCCTCCAAAGTCATCAAACTTTCGGGAGGATTTCCTTTTCTCAGAAAGTCGATGCATGCTAGTGTCCCCATCATTTTCATTGTCAGGTTCCCTATCATCCTGATCACAGTATCCCCTATCCTTGTTCTCCTTTTCAGCACGCTTTCTCTGCTCCTTATGCAACTTCATCACTGTTTTATCATCATCCAGATCTGGGTGCTCAACACTTAGATCGCGTTCTCCATGGGGACTTATAATCCTATCCCTCCGCAAACGTTGCTAAACTTTGTAGGACTCTCATTTAGAAACAAGAAATCATAAACAGCCCGTAAAGAAAAACATGTGTACAAAAAATGTAACCTTATCTTCTTGAGATGGCCGCGATGTGGGCATTGCAGAGCTCCTCTCCTCGTAATGATTCAAAGGACGCCGTCCAAAAGAAGCATTTGTTACTGATGCCGTGGCTGAAGAATCTGGCAAAAATCTAGTGAACTCATCAAGAAGATCTGGCTGATTATCAAATAGAGCTGCAACCTGCATACGGATTTTAAAACTAAATTAATAAGAAGACCATGAAAAACTAGAAATTCACAAAGAAGCCCGCTTATATTATTCAACACAAAAACATTTCAATAAGTTGCATATACCTCTTGGTAGACCTCAGTGATACCCTTGTGTTCCTTTCGATACATATTCAAGATGTCAAGGAATGATTTATAAGCATGATCATCATTTTGGAATCTTTTCTGCGGGTGCACAAAGTCCAATAGGATATTGTTATTTACATTCAATTCAGAAACTAAATTTCGAATCTATTACTGTGTAAGTGATATGATATTTTCACCTTAATCTTGTTTACAAAACTTATGGCCTCTTCAAACTCAACTGTCCTTTTTGGAGCCTCTTCCTCGTCAGTAAGGGTGATTTCATAACCCTTGGGCAAGAACGTATTGAACCCAAGGATGAGATTAGGATGCCCCTTAAATAACTCTTTCACCCGTGCTATAACACCGACCGTATCAATTCTGGGAGTAACAAATTAACATTGAAGTCCCTAAAAAGTGCTCCATTCAATAGTAATATGCATGACCTAATGTTACCAAGGAAGAATGATTTACCTCTGTCCCTTGAAATCTTTCATGACGTCAAGAAACCTGTCATATTTTTCTCTTTCATCTTGGAACATGTCCTTGACTTCCTTCAAATAAGTAAGTGCATCATTGGTTGTAAGCTTTTGTATACTACCGCCGCCACTGCCTCCAGTAATAGCACCATCTCCTACAACACTGCCACTTCCACAACCAGGGGCACGCGACAGCCCATACCTTTATTACAAGGAAAGTTAAAATACACAAGTTACAATGAAAATCCAGAAAGTGAGACAACTAAAATCTCATCAGACAATACGTGCACTGCACAGACACCCTCTAATTAATTATTGGTTCTCTCCCATATGCTATAATATTTTTCTTTTTTTCTGGAAACAATAACTCACATTTATACAGGATCGTAGGGAGTCCCCTGAAATGAAGTATGGCTCTAGATAGTAAATAATTTCACTCAGCTATTACATTACGTTCGGAATTCTACAGACAAGAATGATGACGAAGAATAATTTGAGAAGAGAGTCAAGAGACATAAGACACATTAAGGTGTACCCTCTCCCACCAGAAAAAATTGTTCTCATATCAATGACATCATTGGCTGCTAAGGTTGTTCCTAAAGTTCATTACTTTGTCACTCCTACCTGCCAGGTTCAATGTAAAACCTCTGTTTAATACAGCCAAGGCACAATTGAGAGACGTTTAAAACTTGCACTCTTCCCATGAATCCCCTCAACCCCGACCTCGGAGGAAAAAAAAGGAAATGATAATATAAATATAAAACAAATCGATATCAATACAAACCAAAGAAAAGCAGCATCATATCTAAAGATCCAAACTTTATTTCCATATCTGCCCCCCACCCCCCACCCCAAAAAGTTAAATAAATAAAATCATTAATCTCTCGGCAACCCTAGACAATATTATAACCTAATTCTTCCTCTTTTCATTGTCCTCTCTATTGCTGAACAAGACCAAAAAAGTTATCGACTAGTTCTGATCGTCAAAATTTTAATTAAATTCAGAAAATTAACTTTCAAATTCAACACAGCAGAGTTTATCTCCGAACAAAAGACAGCAACTTCTGAGAAAAATGACACGATACCACAGAGACGAACATTATAAATCACAAGAAACAAACCAATTCAAGATGAGAAAAATTGTAAAGAGCTTACGATTCTCCACGAGAAGACGAAGAATCCAATGGCCGCTTAAATTGAGGGTTTACATAAACCTCATCTCGTAACCGCTTCATTTCTGCAAAAACAAACAATATCAACTTCACTTCAACAAAAAAATAAAACGAAAAAATTCAAGCACCAGATAAACAGAAAGAAAGTATAGTTATCAAAAAAATACTTTGCAAAGAAACTGACCAGTAAAGTTCTTCCCCTTCAGAAAGGGAAAAACAGCGAACAGATCTAATCTTAACAACAAATATATAAAAAATCAGTTCAATATTTGGGATCAAATTCTTTTGTTCAATACAACGAATTGTTGCAGAACTATTCCTTCTATGCTTTTATCCCTCCTTTCTCTCTAACGTTGAGAGAACTCCAAAACTAACAATCAACTATACGAAAAAATGGAGGTGAAAAAAAGAAAACAATATAAGCGGTATACGTGATTGTGTGTAATATATGTTTAGGAGCAGAAATTCGGAAAACTATTGGGCTTCTGTGCAGAACTGAAAATTTTCGGCTTATGGATAACTAAATTTGGACTATAGTAGCCCAAATATACTGGCAGACCAATTTGGAAATAAATGGGCTTTGTGCAGAAATATTGTGTTTTGGGCTCTTGTAGCCCAAACAACAATACCAACCTGATAAAAGTTGGTATTAATTTAAGTGAAAATTACATAAAGGCCTACTTAGAGAGATTACATTTCAAAAATAAAAAATATACAAGAAACATATGATATTACAATTTTTAATATTAAACAATAATATTATAAAATTCAATTAATTATATACCTACTCCAAACCCTAATATCCATTTTCTCTCTCTATCATTTCCTCTCTCTCTATTCGAAGATACTAGGGCGCGATGCTCCAGATACCACCACCACAGCGTCATCACTCTAATATAGACAACATTACCACGGATCTATTAAGAAGGTGGACGAGCGTCATTGCTTCATGGTGGTTGCAAATCTATGCGTCTGACACAAAGGTGTGAATCTGTGGTGGTGCACTGATGCTAGTAGTAGTGGTACGGTCGGTGGAGGTAGATGCAGTGTCGATGGTTTCTTTTTTCGATCTACTTTGTCGAGATTTTGGGGAGTGCTTAGCCGATTTTTTTGGGTGTTTGGGTGGTGCTCAACCGGTGTTTTTGTTTTAGTTTGTGAGGTGGTGGTGGTGGTGGCGGTTTGGCAGTGCTAGTTTTGTTTCTGTTTCTTTTGTGAATTTCGGATTGTGAGGTTGTGTTTGTGGTGGCGACGGCGACAGTGTAATGGTGAGGTGATGTCGACTCTTTGGGTTATTTTTTTGTTTCTGTTTTGTTATAGATTGTGAGACAATGTTGACTATGGTTGTGGTAATAGATTGGTGGTGGCGGTGGCGGTGGCGGTGTTGGTTGTGGTGGTGGCAACAACGACGTGATGGTAGATTTGGGAATTTTTTATGGTTGGTCACGGTGGTATGGTATGCTAGTTTTGTTTCTGTTTCTTTTGTGAATTTCGGATTGTGAGGTTGTGTTTGTGGTGGCGACGGCGACAGTGTAATGGTGAGGTGATGTCGACTCTTTGGGTTATTTTTTTGTTTCTGTCTTGTTATAGATTGTGAGACAATGTTGACTATGGTTGTGGTAATAGATTGGTGGTGGCGGTGTTGGTTGTGGTGGTGGCAACAACGACGTGATGGTAGATTTGGGAATTTTTTATGGTTGGTCACGGTGGTATGGTGGTGGGGAGATGATGGTCGCAAATGTTGGTGGTGGTCACAAATTATTTGATTGACTGTAATTATTAAACTAGTTAACATGTAACCAATAAATAATATGTGACCAATGAAAAAGATAAATTGTGACCAATAATTTGATAATTTGTGACTGTATAATAAGTTATGACTTATAATATTTGTAATTTGTGACTCATAAATTTTTTATATGTAACTTATGAACAAATTTTGATCTATAAAATTTTTGAATTATGATCGTAAAATAATTTATGACATATAAAAATTTTGATTTATAACCAAAAAATAATATGTAACTAACTAAATTATTAATTTGTGATCAAATTGTATAAATTTGTGCCTTAATATATTTAATTAATGAAATATATAATTAACTAATTAAATTATAAATAAATTTTAATAAATATTTGATTTTTGAAATTTGAAACCCTTGTTCCTATTTTTGAAATGGATGATACTTAATCCCTTAGTCATGATTTTTTCTCTTAATTTACTATGTGAAAATTAGTCTCCTATCGTTTTTATTTGGAATTTTGAAATACTAATTAAGATCAAGTGCATTACACGTGGTTTTGCGATGTAGGCTCGTCTTTATCAAGAATGAATCTCGCTCCAATATCGTCGAGCGTTCATGAAATTTAATATCAGAAGTTCTTTTTTGGGACGAAACACTTTTTGCCCATTTTAATACGAATGCAGAAAATTTTTGAATTCAAATGATGAAGGCAGCAATGGCCCTTTATGCTTTGACAAAGAAATTAAAGAATTTATAAATTTGGATAATAATAGTTACAACGGTTCACTGATTTTCGATGAGTCAATGGCATAGAGATTCTTAAGGAGTCGTCATAGAAATTCCAATTCTGTTCTGGAGGCATTCAATTACTTTTAGAAAAAATAATAATAAATGTTGGAAACTTCAAGTATTCAGTGTCGTTCATAGCACGAGCAGCTTTTTTATTAATATATTTAGAAAATTAAAAAAAATTAAATTAAATTAAACCTTCCTCCCTTTTTTGGCTTGAGACCTGCTACTTTTAACATAACATGGTTAAAATTGTACATGAAAAATATCTGCTTTACCTTAAAAGAGAGGATGAAAACATTACTATTCATCTCGAGACAGAGTTTTCACACTAAATCGATTCCCTACTGTAGTTAAACTCGTTCAACATTACATCCACTGAAAAGAGGTTTTAATTATTTCTATTGCTCATCCACAGAAATGAAATTAATGCGACTACTTTATTGCTTTCCATTATTAACTTAAACAAGTAATTTAATGTAACTCTATGTTCATTCCCTATTATTTATTTCTATTATCTATTATCCCTACTACAATAAAATAAAAGAAGCAATATACCAATTACTGTTCATTTAGGTTGTATTTTGAGTTTTTACGTCCAAAAAAAAATAGTTTACGTTATACCACATAATTTTTTTTAAGAAAATGATGTAAATTATATTGAGAAAATTGCCACGAAAAAATAATAAACATTAATAAAATAATTGATTTTTTTTTAAGGAAAAAAGACGATTTTTAAGCATTTTTTAACACACACGTTTGATGTATGTTTAACTATTTTCGATATTCATTTAGATCATTCGATATATTTATGACATAGTTTTGGAAATGAGCTTCGAAAAAATATAGAAAATTTATGGTAGATATTTATAAAAAAAACTAATCACCTAGTGAAAAAAAAATTGACAAAAAATAATAATAATAATTCCAACTTGGAACAGAATCTTCTATAAAATAATATTATACGTAAATAAAAAAAATTCATTAAATCGATTGGATATTGAACAATAAAGAAAAGATTCGATTAATTACACGATTTAATTATATTGAATATAGTTATCATCAAATAAATCATTTATATGTAAAATAATGTTTGATATATAAATTATGGGCTCTAATAATTTGAGTTTTTAATCCAAGCATCAAGGGAACATTTATTATATCCCCAGAAAATACATTTCAATTATAGCAACACAAAATTGATGCCAACTAATTTTTCATCTTGATATTTTAACATCTAAATTTTTTTTATATATTAAAGAAATTCGATCATTTTTATAAATTTTTTTCTTATTATTACTTTTTCCTCTCGATCAATTAATTTTTTAAATAATCTAATAAAATTTTTGACGTCATTTAAAAAATTTTCTAATAAATATTTAATTTTTTTTAATGTCAAAAATGTGTCATATATGAAGATTACATTTCTATTTATCATTTTAAACAATTAATCAAATTTGTAGATTTATTGAGAGAACTGAATTAATATTTTGACACGTTAATAACTTAATATTACCTAAAAAATAACATAATTTGTGCATTGCACGGGTGGAAAACTAGTATTACTAAAAGGAAGAAAAAAATTTGAAAAAAATAAATGTTAGAACAAACAACACTTACAAATTATGAAATTGGAATTGAAGATCTTCAAGTATTAATTGTCCACTTTATCATGGATTCAAAACTCTCCATCTCCCCAATTGTTCAAATAATTCATCTCTATAGTATATCTTCTTTAAGTCTTGATTTTTAATTAAACAAATTTCTACCACCTAGACTAAAAAAGCAAACTCAAATACTACAGTAAATATCAAAGGTATTGATAGATTGCGTGCAATAATGGAAACAACTGAATATTGACGCTCATCCATTCCCCCACCACCTAAGTATTTTATTTCTTCCTCGTCTAAAATGTTAAGCATGTCAGGAGGAAAATGTCTAGTCAATTCTAAAGGTATTCTGCCTATGCCTATATTCATACCTCGGGTAAGCGAAGAAGTACTAGAATATTGATTAGCTTCACAAAAACTAACATATTTCTATAATGATAAATAGTCATCTTCGACTTCTTGTGACGACAAACTAGCCTTTTTCTAGGGCGAGCCATCAACCATTGTTATCAGTCCTTTCCATGTACATCTCAAGCATCTCATATAAATTACAATGCATAACTAGAGATCCAAAATTTAATGTACTTGAAATTCCATTTGTAATATGTTTTGTACCGAAGATAAAGGAAACAACATTTATAGGCAATACCTGCAAATGTTTTTAAACTTAACCTCCGTCGATAATACAATAAAAAAAAAAAAAAAAAAAACAGGTAATGTTTGATATGTTCCGAAGTTTTTAGCAATATGATAAAAATGAGTGAGAACGAGTGGAATGGTGGAATAATATATGCCAACATACGTTCATAGCATCGTAAAAATTTCAAAAATTTTGTCACCTAAAATGCAATTTGTCAATAATGTTTTCGTAAATCAAATACGAAACTATGTGAGTGTCAGCAACTGTAATAAGTAGTAATACAATGTTCGTAGCCTTCACAAGAATGGAACATAAGATAAAATTGATTTCCATCTATAATTTATATCTGTGATAATTTTTTTCTAATTGCAATTCTATAAATTTTAGCCCATCTTTTACTATTAAATTAAAGAGTTGACAAACACAATGGATGTGAAATTGTATACCATCAAAATTGGGTCGGGCTAATCTATCAACTACTAATTTGTTGACCAATACATTATTAATATGGTGTTTGGTAAGGATTAAAATTAAAAATTTTAGTAGATTTTGATAGAAATTTTTGAAATATATAATTGAAAAGTTGTGGGACCCATGAAAATGTGGTTAATATTGATTATTTAACTTTGACTT